TCGCGGGGGCGCTGGGCACGGGGGCGCTGTTCGTCCTGCTCACGGCGTGGATCGCGGGCGGCGACGGCGACGCGGCGGCCCCTGCCCCCGTGCCGACACCGCATCCCCCGACTCGGGCCGCCCGCAGGCTGAGAAGTTGAGTGGCTTCTGACGCGGGCTGGGCCGCGGAGCCACGGGAACGCGGTGCTGCTGGAGTGCTGCCCTGGACGGATTATAAAAGTTTTGAGACCCCCGCTGCTGGTTGTCACTTTGTGGAGATGCCCGGCATGGCCCGTGGGCTGCGCTGGGCCGAGGGGCCCTGGTGCGGGGTCCCGGGATGGGGACTACTTTCAGCTTTAGTTCCCTCTTACTGTGTAGTTATTCTTCCACTAAGAGCCGCCACTACCGAGCAGGAACGGTGTGTCTGGCCGTGCTAAGCAGTTAACGTTATTTCATACACTGCTCTTCAAAGCGCAAGGGCCGGGTATGGTGGCGCAGGCCTGTAATCCCAGCACTCGGGAGGCTGAGGCAGGTGGGTTGCTGTGAGTTTCAGGTCAGCCTGAGGTACACAGAGTTCAAAGCCAGCCTAAACTAATTGCGAGAACCTGTCTCAAAAACAGCTCCCCCCCCCAAAAAAAAAACCCAAACAGAACAACCTAAGAAGTAAGGTATCTCCAATACACATCAGGAAACTGCTCGCAGCTCCTGGGTGACACAGGCAGGCTTTTGAACTCAGAGCCATCTAACCTGAAGGTTTTGAGCCCCAGAGGAAAGGTGCCTACACAGGCAGCGAGCTCGAGACAATCGACGGGGACCAAAACGGTATGTAGAGCTTCCTGGGTTTGCTCGAAGGCCCTTCAGGAGTGTGTAGGGCAGCGCAGGTAGGGGGTGCCGACTTGCTGGGGCGCCTGCCTCCACAGCGTTTTCCCCCCACCTGAGTGTACGGGCGGTGGGCGGCGGGCGCCGCCCAGGATCCTGGGGAGCGCGCATAGAGACTGCCCTGGCCTGGGCCCAGGGGCTTGGGGTGAGAGCCATGACAGAATGACAAGCCAATCCAAGAGGAGAGTTGAAAACAAGATTGACGTAACCCTTTATTGCAAATTCTAAAGTAAAAAGATGTACAGTACAAAGTAAAATTGAAATTTCAGACTATAAACTTCCAATCCACGTATACATTCTCATTTCTCAAGCACTTCTGCCATTTCTGCATAAACAGAACAGGGAACAAGTCGAGGGGTGAGGGAAGGAAATACAGCAAGGAGAAAGAAATCAAGTGTCTAGAATAATCACAAACCCCAGAAGCAAGTGAAAGGAAAGACATTTTCTCGACCTGCTGTCCTCGTGATGAGAAGCGGGGGTGGTTGGAGCAGTGCAGTCAAAAATGGCTCTCAGAATAGCAGCATTTATGGTACCATTTCATCTTAAGTCCAAATAATACTTTGCCCTTCCCTAGTGCCTTTGCCTCTGTATCTCAAAACACTTTACAAAACATTTAGTTAAAGCCTCACAACACCCCTGTGAGGTAGGTCAGTATTATTATCCCCATTTTACAGATGGGGAAACTGAGGCACAGAGAGGTTAAGTGACTTGCCCAAGGCCACACAGCGAGCCAGTGGTCAAGCTAGGGTTAGAACACAGGAGTTCTGCCCTTTTTCTGGAACCACTGGACCACACTCCCCTTTACCTATGTACATTCTTCACACACACACACATGTGCACACCCGCCCACCCCACCCCATTTAGCCTCT